TAAAATAATAAAATGACATAAGTGGTTTATACATACGCTTGAAGGAGAGCTATCCTGGGCACATAACCATCTGAGGAAGAACAGAAAAAAGCAATTTGTTCAGAACTTTCACAACCACAAGCATGGACCAACACCAGACCTGGAGCCACAACACCAAGGTTTCGTAGAAAAAAAACTATAATCAAATTTAGGTGCGAAGCGCACACGTTTGTTTGGGGTACCTTTTATTTCAGTAAAGATTTGATTTCCTTTAACAGTCTGCAGTGTGCATACGTACATTTCCCCTGACTGTTGCGACACAGAGCCTTCTTGTCATTTACGAGCTGGATGACATCCAGGATCTCTCCACACACCAGAGTCAGGTCCTTGCCCCCACCCTTCTTGAGACTGGCGTTGGGGTTGACCATCATCTGACAGATCACCTCAATGGGCCCTTCAAACTGGACACAGGAGAAAGGCTTTAAATTCCAGTCTGCGGTGCCTGTAGCTGAGCCACTCTGAAGCCTGGTCTCAGCAGTCACATAGTCTGCTGTATGTGAAGTACTGTACTGTCATGGGGCTCACAGGGTGGTGCCTCCTAACTCCAGGTAGGATTACACTCCCTATTCCACTTGAAAAAGAGCTTCAAAGTTTTAAATGCACAGCCCTACAGAACCTGCAGGCATGAAACTGGCAAAGAATTACCCGACTGACACAAAATCATTAACAAACGAATGAGAAAAAATGTAGGCATCCTTAGCTAAAGAGAAGACAGGTTCTCCTAATTGTTAGTACGTTTTACAAGAACAAACTGTACATGCTGTAACTGCTACATCAAGCTATGGACTTTCATCTTTGTTAAAACCAGTTTTGCTTCGGATCTACAGTATGTGAATGGCCCTCCTTCAGGCTGTGTAAAAGTGGTTCCCAATCGAAATCCAGCAGCACACATCTGCAGGTTTTTATTCCAGTCAACCTTAATTAGATAATCGATGTCTGACCTGATCTAAGAAGTTGCTTCAATTGACTATTTGCACTGTGTTTCTAGCCACAAGTCTGGGATTTTATCTCACTTACTGTATTTCACTTACAATATACATTGGTTAAAAGCTCCAACATGCTTATGAGGTGGGAACAAACATTTCATATAAATGTTATTCTCATTAAGTCATTGAAGGGTTGTATTGTGTAACTGAGGTCTCAACTGGAACAAAAACCAAGAGTGGGTGAGTCACCAGGACTGGGAACCACAGCTGGACATATGGGTAAACGCAGGACTGGATTTATAAATATGACACAAACAAAATGTTACCTTAAATTTCTTTCTAAATTCCTTTTCTTCTTTCTCCTGCTTCTTGCTCTTTTTAGGATCCAGGCTGAAACTACAAGGGGTAGGGGTTGTTATCTGTTGGTTTGCTCGTTGCCATGATTACCTTTGCTTGATCACAGAGTTTCGGTATATTGTTCCTCAGTGGGGCACTCAAAACAGTCAAAAACAGGAACCTGAGAGTGATGAGCTGGTTTCAGCGATCCCTTCCCGTAGCGCAGGTGAGGACAGGCTCAGAATGACCTTCGCTCCAAACCCATTACTCATTCTCAAATTACTAGTCATTCTTTTTGATCAGGTTCTGAAAGGCTCCTCCTCAGCCTGACCAAAAGGTTGTGTCTGGGCTTCTGGGTCTGGGTCTGATTGCAGGATGAAGTGGGCAAATTTACACCTACCCTGTTCCAAGCCAAGTGGTGTTCTCAATTCAGGCAGATAGTAGACTTCTATCCATACTTGTAAGCAGCAGTTTCTTAGGTGACCAGATCAATCTTATCCTTTCAGCAAAGCCCTTTTCCTGCTGCTTTCCGAGGGTACTCATTAACTGCAAGGCTTATGCAAATGCTAACCTAGGTGTGGTTTATTTGTTCTGCAGCTTCCTGTTTTAGGTGTGATTTGTTTATCAGCAGATCTGATTCAGCAAGCAGTGTTTCTGTAAATCAGAGAAGGAAGGAGCTTATTTCTTCACTCCCAACATGCCCTATGCCTAAAAAAGGCAGCCAAACTGCACTAAAATTTGATAATGTGATTTTATAAAGGCCAGTCAAATGGACATAGCATCATATAATACAAATTACATTTCCTCCAAAAAAAGAAACTGTGATTTAAGTTTTCTTAACTAAATACAACTGTGAAATACCAGGTCTACCTTGTACTTGTAATATCACACGTGTTATCTTTTCACTAGCAAGTCTGTATTTACATCCCTCAACCCTCTACCCCCCCCAGTATTCTAAATATTCTAATTCATTTATTGTTTAAGACTTTGAAAGAAAACCTTAAAATATCCATCATGGAAACTAACAAGATTTCAGAAGGGATGATAACATTAGATGCTTGTGAATGCTTGGATTATTTTGGTAGAATATATTCGGCTGAACAGGCTGCTTCCTGGCCACTGGACATTAATAATAATAATAATAATTGCTTACACTTATATAGCGCTTTTCTGGACACTCCACTCAAAGCGCTTTACAGGTAATGGGTACTCCCCTCCACCACCAGTGTGCAGCCCCACCTGGATGATGCGATGGCAGCCATAGTGCGCCAGAACGCTCACCACACACCAGCTCTCAGTGGGGAGGAGAGCAGA